TAACTATTTTGGTATGTACTTGACCCGATTATGAGCATGGTCCTTTTGGGTTGCCTTCACCATAACAATTTGTAGGATGAATTAAGAAGAGAAAGGTTTAATTATGATTTATTAATATATTATGAGAATAATATATTAAAGGAGAAATCATATTGTTTAATTAATATTAGTCAAGAATTAATTAAGAATTAATTTAGTGGCTAAAAGAGATTAATTAATTATAGGGGACTGGACTGCAATTATTGGATAGTTGAGTTATTGGGCTAGGGAATGCTAAAAGAACAAGGGGTGAACGGAATTATGATGCGAGCCCATCATATTTTCGTCCATGGCCTTATTCCAGAAGGTTCCATAGGCTGCTTAGAGTTTAAGCTGTCCATTAGGGTTTTGACTGAAACCCTAGCAGCCCACACAAGTATATAAAGGACCCATATGGCCCCAAAAACGTGTGGATCTGATTCCTAAGGGTTCTTAGATTAATTTTGGGTGCCTCTCTTCTTCTCTTCTTCATCCAGTTGCTTAGTGGTGTTTGTGACTCCATTAGAAGTGCAATACTTGAGGCACTAAGCTTTCTGAAGCCAATCAAAGCAAGGATTGATTGTTATTGCTATATAACAATCAAAGGTAATTACTAAACCCTTATTTCAGTTCTTATATGATAGATCTAGGGTTTATAACTTTGGATATTCAATTGCATGTTCATTAGACAAACTAGATCCAAAAGCTATTAGGGTTTGCATGTACACCATAGGATTGATGTAGTGCTCAAAACCCATCAATATTAGCCTTATTACATAAATAAAACTAATAAAAAAATGTGGTGAACTAAATTCTGAAGGTATTATTAATACCCTCTAGTAATCAATTGATTATTACTCTGAGGCTAGTTCACTCGATCCATTATTACATAAGTAAATCGTTGTTATCTACATTGCGAGTTTTATAACCATACATTAACTTGATATGGCATGTATCGGGGCCAGTATCCTTTATGACTTTGTCACCCGTAGACCTGCCGGTCCCACTGTAGCTAGCAACGAGCTGTGGGATAGTCAGTCCCGTATAGATCTATACACAACAGTCACACTCTCCTTACAAGAGATTCTGGTTATAAGTGCTAGTCCTACACTTTGTTTCGGTGGTGAGTGTTACCAAGGACGTGTCTCCAACTTAGACTAACAAATTTACAAGTAATAATGCTGAAAACCTTTTTTGTAATTAACATGAATCCTTTATAAAATGATATCTTTTACTTCATGATTCATAAGTTCATTGCCTTAGTTTTGAAAACTGTTTCTGCGAGTTGATTTCTTAACCCATTTGGTAAAACTGTTTTCCATGTTAAAAGTATATTGAAAATAAAATTATCTTAAACAAAATAATATACTTTGAGCCCAAGATTACTTGTGCTTTTGCTTGTATTCCCCCCCCCCCCCTCTGAAAACATGAAAAACTCGGAAAAGCGTAGGGGTATGAACTCACCTGATAAGTGGTGAATCGGGCAGCGTTTCGTTTCTAGGAAGGATTGTTCTTGACGAAACAACGGGTTTCTGGTGAAAAACTGGGCTTCACGTGGGCAGTACTTCAACTGGAAAGACTGTTTTTCTTGGGAACTTCGGGCGTCTGGACTTGCGTCGTGTGCTAGGGGTGTTACCGGGGCTTCGGGGTGGTTTAGAGGGGCTTGAGAGGTGTTTTAAGGTGAAAGGAATGAGAGTAAAGCAACCAAACCCAGGCAGCCCTCACATTCTATTTATAGGTATTGAAACCCCGATTTACGCTGGGCGTAACTTTAGAGTACGCTGGGCGTACTCCCTCTACAAGCAGTACGTTGGGCGTACTCTTCGGATAAGCTTTGGTATGCGTGCCTTGAACTTCAAAAATTCATAACTTTCGCATACGAGCTCCGTTTTTGACGTTCTTTATATCCACGAGTAGGTGAGAATATACTCTACAACTTTCATTTAGTCTTCGTCGGCAAATTTTGAACTTATTTTTAATTATATATCTTTTAATAGGCCGAGACAGGAAAAATCCGAAAAAAAATCATAACTTCTTCATCCGATGTCCGTTTTCGTCTGTCTTTTTACCGTTGTACTACTATTGTTGAGACCTTCAATTCTCGTTTAGGTTGCATCGGCTAAAAATCGTTCGATTTTTATTTCGAGTTTTTAGTTGTCTACCGCTGATCTGAAACTTAGAAAAATCATAACTTCCTCATACGAAGTCGGATTTGGACGTTCTTTTTATGTACGCTCACGGTTTGTTATTATCTACGACTTTCGTTTTGATACTTAAGGCTAAAAAGTGTTTTATTAAAATTTCACTTTTTACGCTTAACAGTGTTTTACCGGTTTTGTCGCGAATCTTTGATTGGTCATAACTTCTTCGTTATAACTCGGATTTAAGTGTTCTTTATATTTTTGAAAACCTTGTTACGATATCTATCACTTTATATATACCAATTGAGATTTTTGAACATTTAATTTTTGACGTTACTTTTATTATTTCAAAAATAGGTTACAATACTTGATTTTAGAACATTACATTGACTTGAAATATCGGGTTGTCACAAGAAATAATGGTCTCGCCAAGCCTTTTGTAAAAACATCAGCAAGTTGCAAGTGTGAAGGAACAAATTGAACTTTAAGCTTTCCAGAAGCAACTTGCTCACGTACAAAATGGTAGTCAATGTCGATATGTTTAGCTCGTTTGTGCGCAATTGGATTTTGAGACAAGAAGATGGCACTTTTGTTGTCACAAAATAGCATAGGAGAGATGGAAAGCTGAACTCGTAGGTCTCGAAGAAGATGAACCATCCATTCCATCTCAGAAGCGGTATTAGCAAGAGCTCGATATTCTGATTCACAGCTAGAGCGGGAGACGGTAGGTTGTTTCTTTGCACTCCAGGATACAAGATTATTGCCTAGAAATATAGCGTAACCGTATGTAGAGTGTCGAGCCTCTAGGCACCGTGCCCAATCAGCATCAGAGTAACCTTGAACAATAGAAGAGTCAGCGGAGCGAGAAAAATTGAGTCCATAATGGATCGTACCCCTAACGTATCGTAGAATACGTTTGACAGCTAAGAAATGAGCATCGGTAGATTCTTGGAGAAACTGACTAACAGAATTTACTGCAAATGAAAGATCAGGTCGGGTTATGGTTAAGTATTGTAATGCACCGACGAGAGATCGATAGAGAGTAGGATCACGAAACGGGCGTCCTTGTGTACTGTGAAGTTGTAAGCCAACCGCCCATGGAGTCGCAACAGGTTTGGACGCGAGCATTTGAGCCCGATCAAGTATGTCTCTTGCATACTTATCTTGACTTAAAATAAACCATCTTTGGTGTGAGTAACCTCTAATCCAAGAGTAGCAAGATATGCACTAAACATTGTAAACCAAGCACGCGGATCCTGCTTAAGGCCGTATAAGGCTTTATGTAGACAACAAACGTGATTAGGAAATTGCGGATCAATGTAACCAGGAGGCTGCTCCATAAAGACCGGTTGGTCTAAGTGCCCATTTAAGAAAACATTTTTAACGTCAAGTTGATGAAGAGGCCAATTTCTTTGAACAGTTAAAGCAAGAATTGTCCTGACAGTAGCAGCTTTAACCACAGGACTAAAAGTATGAGTGAAATCAAAGCCAGGAAGCTGAGAAAAACCTTGAGCAACCAAGCGTGCTTTAATACGATCAACCGTGCCATCAGATAAGTACTTTGTACAATAAACCCATTTAGAGCCTACAATGTTCACACCAGTAGGACGGGGAACAAGGGTCCAAGTATGATTTGACTTTAAAGCACACAATTCTTCATCCATAGCTTCAACCCATCCAGGGTGTTTTAAGGCTGATTTGATGCCTTTTGGTTATGACTGAGCTAGTAAAGCAGCAAGAAGTCCATGCGGTTCAAAATCTGGAAAATGTTTAGGTTTAGATATACCAGATTGTGATCTGGTCCGCATTTGATGACGAGGGAGAACTGGGGATGGATCAACATCCTCGGCTTGGGATTCAGGAAGAGATGAATCAACAGTAGGAACAGTTAAAGTAGAAACAGGTGCAAAAATAGATTCTTGAATCGGCCCAACATCAGGAGATGTACAAATACAACATGGTCCATTTGGTTGTGAAGGTTCAAATGCATGGGAAAAGTTGGGTTGCGTGTGATTGACGTCATCATCATCTAAAGGATCTTGAAAGATGGAAACATGTAATAAAGTAGGATTGGTAGAGCCATTTGTGCCAGATGCAAATGGAAAAAGATTCTCATCAAATTGAGCATGGCGAGAGATATAAATGCGACCCGTATGTTTATCCAAGCAACGAAAACCTTTGTGATTAGAACTGTAACCCAAGAAAACACAAGGTATTGTGCGCGGTGAGAACTTGTTTGGCACAGTAGCCCGTAAACACGGATACAACACGACAACCAAAAGGATGAAAAACCAAGTAATCTGGAGTATTATTGAACAAAATTTCAAATGGCGACTTGCCTCCAAGAAGTGTAGAAGGTAATCAATTTATAGTAAAAACAACAACTTCAAACGCCTCAACCAAATAAGTAAGTGGAACTGAAGCATGAAAAGCCAATGCTAAACCGGTTTCTGTTAGGTGTCGATGCTTACGCTTAGCTCTGCCATTCTGAGCAGCAGTGTAAGGACAAGACATTTGATGATGAATGCCACAAGTCAAGAAATGATCATGTAGTGTTTTGAAGGTAAACTCAGCCCCGCCATCTGATTGAAATACTTTAAGTTTAACCGAGAATTGAGTTTCTACAAAAGCTTGAAACTTGATGAATATGTCAAAAAATTCTGACTTTTGGCGCATAGGATAAAGCCATGTGAATCGTGAATAATCGTCAACAAAAATAGCATAATAACGAAAATCATTATTAGAAGAAATAGGTGCAACACCCCATAAGTCACAATGTACTAAATCAAGCACATTAAGTGCACGTTTATCATTATTACTAAAGGGCAACCGTTTACTTTTTGCCAACTGACAAGACTGACAAACAACAGACTTAGGTAAATGAGAAGTAACATACATAAGACCTTGTTTATTAAGTAATTTGACAATATCATAAGCAACATGACCCAAACGAGCATGCCAAAGTTGAAAAGAAGCACGAAGTCGCCGACTCTTAAGATCACTGAGAAAAGCCGAATCACTTCGTTCCAGAATATAGAGACCAAAATCATGTCGCCCTCTTCCCACGATCATCCCTGTTTTCTTGTGCTGAATAACAAACGAAATATCATCAAACGAAACAGTGACAGGCAAGTCCCGGGTTAGTTTGCTAATTGAAAGAAGATTTTTAGTAATTTGAGGGACAACTAACACATCCCGTAACGATAAATCACGAGTAATAGCACGTGACCCAATATGTGAGATTGATAATCGATGACCATTACCAACAGAAACTTGATGATTACCATTATAGGGAGTAGCCGAGTCAAGTTGAGAAGTAGTTGATGTCATATGAGAGGAAGCTCTAGAGTCCATATACCAATCAGAAACCTCGTTGGGCTGAATGTTCATAGCACCAAATGTTGATGCCAAATTAGCTTGAGAGGAAGAAGCGCCAGACCGTGCATAACGATCTGGACAATCAACAGCATAGTGGCCATCAATTTGACAGATTTGAAAAGGGGGAACATAGGTGCGGCGATTATTCCGACGACCTTAGTGTGAGTTACTTTGAGAACCACGTCCAGCAGTGGACCGAAAGCCAACAGAAGAAGATGAGTTACCAGATTGTCGGCCACCACGCTGATTAGAACGAGAGTTAGGGCCACCATGAGCCGCAAAAGCAACAGGTGCTGTGGAAGAATCCTCCAAGGATTTATGAAATAGAGAATAACTCTCTGCCTCTGATATAACATCACGAAGAGTGGGTGGAGGGATGAGGCGCATCTGTGACAAGGAAAAAGTGGAAAACATCGTACCAAGGCCACGACAATACCAATGCAACTTGTTGGTTCCGGAAACAGGGGCACCAATAGCAGCTAACTGATCACACTAGGAACGAAATTTGGTGCTATAAACTGTAACTGAGTCATTACCTCTGCGTAAATGTTGCAACTCATCATTGAGTTGGATTTCCCTTGTCTTGGAACGAAGAGAATAAGCCTTTTCTAAGGCAATCCATACAGCAGCGGCACTTTTACATCCTAGGGTTTCGGCCATGGATTCCTCAGTCAAAGAAGAAAGAAGGAGATTGTGCAGACGACGATCCTGAGCAAGCCAGTCCTTATTTGCTTTCTGTATAGCAACATCAGTAGAAGAAGATGATGACATTGGCAGAACTGAGCTTAATGGTGATCATATGAATGAGTGTGGCATAGGGAAGACAAGAATCTGATTCAACCATGGTGAATGAATGTGCCAACAGAAACGTGGCGGAAGGGAAAAAGAAAATGGCAAAGAAGGAACACGTATTAGGGTTGGGGAAAAAAATTGAAAAAGATACGTGAGGGGAATTAACCTTCTGATACTATGCGTAAATTGTAGAATATCACCCATATTTAGGTGATTGAAGTATTCCATATAAATAGAGAAATAATTAGGGTACAACATATACATGGGCCTATAGAAAATACACATGGACTAAACTACAATACAAATACAATTAAAGGACTATGGGCTAACACCATCAACATTTTATCATGGATGAATAGAATTTGCCAATAATGGCGCTCACTGAGGTTATCCATGGGACGATTCAATGCATTTATATTTAATGTTTTAGAAATAGAATAATATATAAATAAGAAAACATTATGTAGTCGTTAAATCACAAAAATCCTAATATATTTTTTTAAAAGGCGGGCTCTTTGGTGAATTCACCCCTTATATTGACCAAGAAAGAAAAATCACAAACATAACATACTTAAGGTTAATGATGTAAGTCGTAAGGCTAAAGATATAGCACCTTTACCTGTCATTTTATGCCTACATTATGGTGTGGTGCCCTGCAATACCTCTAACATTTTGCATGCTTTATTTAAAAAAAATAAACATTTCATAACATTTATAAAATAAAAACCATAACATTAAATTTAAAGACGGCTACTTAAGTCTTAAAAGGATGTCTCGAACAATTTTCCTAAAAACAATTTTTTTTAAAGTATTTTTAACCCTTTCAACGGCTAACTGAGAAGTTTTGCCTCCAACAGTATCAGTTTAAAAACTATGCCGTTCACCATTGTCTACGAAAATAGCCGCCGGTGGACGATGTTTGCCACCAACAATTCCATCCACATCGTATACCGCCGGGAATTTTACCCTCCACACAGTTTAGCCCAATGTTTTAAAAACCGGTTTGAACCGGCCGGTCGAACCGGTTGGACCGGGAACCGGAGGAGGAAGCAGTTCAATTATCACCGGTTTTATGTTGATTTTTGAACCGGATTGAACCGGCTGGTTTTTAGAAAAACCCGGTTGAACCGGTCAAAATAAACCGGTTGAACCGGTTAAACCGAATAAAAACACATAAAAAAACCATTTATATAATAAACTTTGGTGATTTTTTTTTTCAAATCTATTTAGTTTTCTCTAAATAAAAACATATGAAAAGTTTTTAATGTGTTTATATTCATCTAAAACTATATTTTGTTTTGTTATTATATTTTATTTTCTTTTTGACGTATATGGATTGATGAAAACATTAAAACTTATGGTTATGTGTTATTTTAATGTATTTGGATTCATCTACAACTTATTTTTTGTGAATTTTTAATGTTTGAACTTGTAAACATCAATTTCATGATTTATATATGTATGTGTAAGAAAATAGGAAAAAACATGAAAAATATTGAAACCGGTTTACTGGCGGTCGAACCGGTTTGACCGGAAACCGGTCACCATACCGGTTCAACTAAAAAACCGGTTTTTAAAAAATTGGTTTAGCCACAAATTGCATTTTTAGACTAAAAATGCTGCTTTTTATAACGACAAGACGTTTTGTCGTTTTCTATAATTTACTACTATATATAATGAAAGCTTCGAAATAAGAGAGGCGTGGCTTAGGTTATTGGCCCAAAAAATCTATGCACTGATTGGTGTTTCTCTTCTGGAAGTGGTGTCATGGAAACCAATGCTTTTTTATATATAGAAAAAAATACTAGCAAAGATACCCTTTACAAGAAAAACAAAAAAAGAGACTCAAACAGTAAAAAGTCATTATGAAATAATGTCATAATGCCACAATAATATAGTAAATTTAATGCCATTCATAATTTTTTAACTCCAATATTGTTATAAACTAACCATTGTAATTCTAAAAATACAAAAATTATTAAACTAGGTTAATTTTTTAAGTTTTTTCATTGGTTAGTAGCAAACTAAATTACAAATGCAGTTATGTAAAAAAAAATTAACCCCTCGAATAGTTCACCACGACAGAGAAGTGCAAGGAGTTCCCGAAGAAGACGACGACGAAGCTCCATTGTTGCTATTCAAATCGCCACCACGACCAGTATCATCATCTTTCACCGACGCCACCGACTTCACCTCAGCGGGAAGCTTCTTCATCGGCGTTATCGGCGGCGTCACCACCACCTTCAAAGACGTTATCTCATCCCGTTCATCATCACCAGACGACCCCTCCGACTCCAGCCGCGAAGGCGACGTGTCCGGCGTCTCAAATGGAGTATTCCCCGCCTTGCTCCGCCGTCCATTCTCATCATCAAACATAGGATTCGAAATGTAAACCAAATCCTTCTCTATTCGGCCGGAGTTCCCCGAACAACCTTTCCGAATATACCCATCTTGGTTATTTTCTTGATTTTCCAGCGGTTGAGGGAGCTGTTGCTGCTTCTCTATGTCGTCGCCGGCGAGTGAAGGGTAAAGGATGCTTCTTGGAGCTGCAAGGACCCCTTGTGAGTAGATATCGCTTAACGATGGAAGAGCAGAACTAGGAGGAGGAGGAGAAGATGAGTTGTTGTTGTTGTCTACTATGGTTAGAGGTGCGGCGGTGGTGGTTTGTTGAAGTTGACGGCGGCGGAGGAGGATGGAGCAGTAGAGCTCAGCTAACAGAACCAGCACCAAACCAAGAACCACAGCAAGACAGACCACAAGCACCAGGGTTAACCCCATCATCAAATTGGATGCACCCATCATCATTTTTCACACTCTATGTGAAAGAATGTGAGAATGGGGAATATCACCACTGACCACTGTGATAATAAATGGCAGACTCAAGGTTTTGGCGGGAAAATGGTGGTGGGGTGAACCCAGAGAAGGAATCTTGATTCTTTTAAGGTTACGGGGATTGTTGAGGCAAATACGGATACAGTTCGATTATTCAGACGTTTTTGTGAAAATGTCATGATGAAATCTTAGAAGTTATAAGAAAGAAGAAATTTGTGTATATTGTTCAAAAATAACAAAATGAACATTTTGTATGAATCACAATTTAAGAAGCATAATCATAACCTATTGACATAACGTTACGTATTAGAACTTAATAAAGAAATGTGAAGGGTGTACCCTTTTGACAAAGAAGGTCAAAATGGTCATTTCACTTGAAAAGGTTTTTGTCGTTTGATCTCTTTGGTGGGGAAAATTTCTTTGATTCGTTGCATGAACCCAAAAGATATTGTCATATTGATGTCACGAGACTTGGTGAAAATCACAAAAAAAGTACGTGAAACCCTTTTCATTAAGAAGGTCAAAATGGTCATTACAATTAGGAGTGGTTTTGTCTGTCGATCTTTGATTCTTTGTGGTAAAGGCACTAACTACTTTCCCGAAAAAGAAATTTCAACCTAAAGTTAATTTAAAGAAGATTTAAATGAATCTAAAAGATATGAATATCACTTTATACAACAAAAATAAGAAATGTAAAGGGTATTCTTTCCACAAAGAATGTCAAAATGGTTATTTCACTTGGAATGATCTTGACAATAATATTTTTTTGTGGCAAAATCATTAATCTTGTTTTGTAAAGAAGAATTTCCTTCTCCTAAATCTGTAAATCAATATGATTATTTCATTTGAATACCTTCTCTAGAAATTAGAGACTAGTATTATATTATTCACCACGTAAACAAAATTGAGTAGGCCCATATATATGAGTTTAGGACCATCTACCCTTAGATAAGATATATTGGTTGGGCAGTGGTGGATAAGGGAGGACCTCGTGGCTGATGACATGATGAACAAGAAGTGGATTCGGCTGTAGTTCGAGCCAAGAGTCGAAACATGTTTTCCTAAATATTATTTTGTCTAGATTTGTGTATGATAGAGCATTTAAATGTAAAATGTGTGTCATACAGGATCTGATGATGTAAAACAACAAAAAAATTAAGGTATTGTCTACTTTGAAATTTTCCTTTTTCGGAATTTCGAATGTTAATTTTCCATAAACATGAAATTCGAACCAATGATTTGCGAACATGCTCAAAATTTTCGAAAACCTTTTTGAACATGTTCATAGTTTTCGGACGTGATAAAAACACATTGTCCATGGAAAATAGGTTTTCTACTAGGTTCATATATTTTATCGTTCACTACAAAGGCTGTCCAATGGAAATCCATATAACAAAAGCTTTTAAAAAAAAATCGAACACAGAAAAAGATGTTAGGAAAAATCATCATGAGAATTTAGAACATGTTCTTTGTGTTCAAAAGTGCTTATTTTTCTAGCAATTTCGTTGACCATATGATTCGTAATACGTTTTACATGAATAAATAGTTGAAAACTTATCTCACCATCATTAATTGAAGTTTTTTTTACGCCAATTGTAGAAGATGTGAGCTTTGGGATAGGTCTCGAACACTTTTGTTTGGGAAAATAAAAAATAAAAAATTCAAGGATTATATATCGAGAACCAATACGTTTTAGTTCTGACATTCGAAAATTTAAAATTTTCGAAAAATTGAATGTGTTACAAAAATATATTCATTTGAAGAATACCAATAAAAATATATTTCAAATTTTATATAAAAGAGAGATTTAAATGAATCCAAATGACATAAGATATGATGTTAAAAAGAAGAAAAAGAAAAAATGTAAAGATACTCTTATGATCAAAGGTCAAAACGGTCATTCCAATTGGAAGTGGTTTTGTGACTTTTATCGTTGAATCCCTCCCTGTTGTAAAAAGCAGTTCCTGAAAAAGGATTGAAGAACAGGGCCAATTCAGTTATCTTGGGACCAACCGGAGGAGGGAGCAGGATTGGTACAGTACTAGTATGCATTATTACAGTGCAACGTTTATTGCGTTTTTTTTTTTTTTTAATAATTATGCATATGTACATTATCACATCACCTAATACTGTTCAATTTTTGCAATTCAACCTTTTAAATTTTAATGATTAGTTTTTCTTATAATATTTGACAAAATCCTTTATTTTATTTTTGTTATGTCTTCCGTAGGAATTGCTCCTATATTATGGTCATATTTTTATGGTTGTTATTTGATGGGAAAATGACTTATATGGGTAACTATGTTTCAAAATCATTCAAAAAATACCATTCAAGTTTGGTGTGTCCAAAAAACACCATTCAAGTAAAGCATTTGTACAAAAAACACCAACGAAGTACATTCTTTGTTCAAAATTGAGCTTTGGTAACCGACAATTACCGGTAAAAAATAAGTAAAGGAAAAAAAACAATAGGAAAATGACTCAAAGAGGTAACTATGTTTCAAAATCGTTCAAAAAACACCATCCAAGTTTGGTATGTTCAAAAACACCATCCAAGTAAACTTTTTGTACAAAAAACACCAACAAACTATATGTTTTGTTCAAATATTACCCACCGGTAACTGGTTCTTATAGGTTAAATGATAACTTGGCTTAACTATTATGACATGGCATAATAATGATTGACAAAACAATAAATGATATATTTCTCCTTTAAAAACCGATTTAGGGTTTCTTCATGAACGAATGACTTATTCTTCTCCTATGATTGCTTGTCTTCTTCTAAAGTGGTGATCTCGAACTCAAGTCCAAAACCCTAATTCTTAACTTAAAGCAAAAAGGGCTCCTTTACCCCTGCCTCAATGGACCTCCCTCCCCCTAAGGCCCAAATACATAAAAAGCCCAAAAAGGCATCCAAGCCCAACTACAAGGCATCTAAGGCCTAATATGGCCCAAGAACCCCCAACATGGCCTTAGCCAAAAAATGACCAGCTACAATCAAGTGGGCCCGAGGCCTGACATAAACAAGTCTGTGCATAGTCCAATCATATCCGGATGTCGAGCCAGTACGCCCGGCGTACTCCTAGCGTACGCCCAACGTACTCGGCTAGGGTCAAGAAACGCCAAATCTTCCGAAGGCCATAACTTCTTCATTCTAAGTGTGATTTCGTCATTTTTTATATCTACGGGAGTTAATTTAGGCATCAGACAGCCATACTGTAACACTAGTCAAAAGTAGGTCAATAACAATCACATGTGATTATACCAATCATGTAAATGTGATTTTGTTAAAACTAGTAATGTAGTAAACTTACTATGTATTTCATGATAATTCTAATATAAATATGAACTTTCATACATACTTTATAGTATAAATCAAAGTATACGTCCATACGATTCCAAAAATGTAGAGAACGTCTGAATCTGACTTCGCGTGAAGAAGTTATGATAAACCGAACACTATAAATCTCTATAATAAGATGAATTTAAAATAGACTTAAAATTAGCTATTGGAGTCTAAAAGAGAGTTGTAGTGCTCGGAATTACCTACGCGTGGATATAAAGAACGTCAAAAACGGAGTTCGTATGCAAAAGTTATGGCCTTCCGAAGATTTCTCTGTCAGAAACCCTAATTTGACTAAACTCACGACGTGAGCACAAAAAATCACGACGTGAATATTGATATTTCACGACGTGAGGAGTCATTTTGCCACCTTCGGAAGCTAGAAGACGGATGGCAAGTCTACGAAGAGATAAGATCCAAACTCACGACGTGAACAATGAGTTTTTCACGTCGTGAGGGCCAAAAATCTTACTATAAATAGCAAGATCGACCCCAGCCATTCTTACACCTGAACTTCTTTCTCCTCTCTCCTTTGCTGAAGCCCTCTTGCATCCCGAGCCCCGACGACCTCGTACCGCTGACCGTTTCTGCTTAGATTACATAAAATCACGCTATTAAGGTGAGTTTCACGACCCCACTTTCTAATATTTTCGGGGGAAAACGCATGCTAAATATTGTATATACGTTATTATTATGTCTATATGATAGTATATTAGTATCAACGTAGATAGTTATAATAACCGGGATATAGTTATTTCATATTTGAAAGTATACAACTATCGTAAAGTTGTTAGCATGTTATTGTTATAGTAGTATATTAATGTAGATCTTGAGTTATACTTAGGATTCTATATATATTTTGTGTGCGATATAGTTCCGAAGTTATATTCGGAAGTTCTATATGTTAAGTTATAAAGTATGTTGCTATTATTGGTTTTATGTCAAGATAAAATTTGGTATGTTATATGTTGTTATTGTTAGTTTTATGTCAAGATAAAACTTAGTATGTTATATATTGTTATTGATAGTTTTATGTCAAGATAAAACTATGAACGTTATATGTTGTTATTATTGATTTTATGTCAAGATAAAACCTGGTTTTAATTCTAATTATAGCTGTTGTACTACCTAAGTATTATAAATATTAGGAGTAATGTTAAAAACATAGTCTAATAACTTAGGGTTTTAGACACGAATATGATTTTACTACTAGAACTAACGGAACTCGACAAGTCTACATGAGCTATTGTATTCATCAACTAAGATTGGAAATCTTAGGGAAAATCCTCTGACCTGTAACCGTTAATCCCGTGTGAGCGAGGAAGTCGTGTATGAATAAGATACGGGTTGACAACCCCACTCGTGGTTGCTAGCTACAACAAAACCGTGTGCGAGTGACGAACTGTCCTTTTGTTTGTTTATTGTTCTGACGTTGATGAAGCGTGTGAAACTTATCTCAAGATGCGAAACTTGTAGCATCAAGCAGAGGTTTGAAACTAGTCATATAGCCGCGGTTACGGACTCATGGTAGCAAATTGTTAGAAGCATTATACTTTGTCGTTATACAAGTATTAATGTTAAGTATATGTTTCCCAAACACTTATACTCTAGGTACAAGAAACTGGTAGGT